CTTCTAAGAATTTTGATGCTAATTGGAATTGTCTGTGTGTATATGTTAAAATTATGATTAATGAGTAGAATTCCTAGTAGGAAACATGGTGGTCTGAATGTGCAGCTTGTTTAAAATGCCATGGTTTCATGGAAACGTGGAGCAATCCTGCCACGGTCACTCCTAATATAACTGTAATGGAAGTGTTACATTATAACGGGCATTTGTTCTCTTAATTTTTGATCTATTTTGTATCTTTTTGATTCATATACTTTTCAAATTAGATATAATAATGTCTATTTTGCTTTTTCTGTCCCAGCGAATTCGAGAACTAGAAGATAAAATAGAACTTCAGAAGAGGCAACTCAAAGAAATTGAGGAAAAGGTAAATAAATGCTTGTGCGATGACACTGGATTTTTTTCCCATACTAATTTATTTTTCTCGGTTGCATTGACATTAATAGTACTTAACCTAATATCACAAAATGTATTTTAAAACAAGATAAAATTTCAGTTCAAGTCATTATTGCATTAAATGAATCTCTGTCCCTAATCTGATCAAAATTATTTGCTATCTGTTTTTTCTATCAAGTACGGAAAGCAGTCAAGGGGTATGGAAAGACACTAGAAGGGGGAGGATTTACTGTGGTTTAGATCAAGAAACAACATAAAGATTTGTCTCTGACAGAATCAGTTACCTCAGCCCTGATCTTCAGATAACATTTCTTTGCCAAACTTGCAAGTGCTGAAAATTAAAACAAAGCTAATGAGGTGGATGTGACAAATACTACAAACAAAAAATATTTATTGCTTTAAGATAGAAACAAATTCCAAATTAATATCCTGGCTCTACATTTACTTTTTTTTTGAAGAAGCTCTGATTGAGGCTTAAACCAGCAAATTTATTTGGGTCACTGTGGTCCCAAGCAAGAGCCGACATGAGGTTCCGGGACTGTGAGCTCAAGTGTTTCCCAGGTCTGTGGATTTTAGGTTGTTTTGCAGAGCATGGGCTGACAACGGGTCTTTCTCTAAGCAAAGTGGTTTAATTATGTTGCTTTTGCCAAACCAGATGAGTCACATCATCTCAGGTTCATTTTCTCTGGTATATATGGGTACCTAATTCTACATTAACCTGCTGTTGGGATGGATAGAGAAGTTAGTGGAGTTTTCAGTCACTGTTTTTTTTTCTTTTGGGATCAGAATGGGGTAAAAGAGCAAAAGGGAGGCTTTTGGAGGACTCTGGATGGGAGTTGGAAGAGGTCAGTAGGGTTTGCAGAACTGAGAGAGATTTGGGGAGCAGCTTGCTAGATTTAGGAAGGTTTTGTCCTCACCCTTCACTAATCTCACTGTCCCTTCATTTGCTCTCAGGATGTGGCAGTCCTCCCTGTGTCACGATCCGGGGGTACTGTACTTCTAGCAGCCACTCCAAATCCCTCAGCAGCTTCCTTGACCCTTTCTGCTCCCACAGTAGTTATCTCCCCTTTGCAGTACCTCATCCTGCACATTTTGAATTGTGATATACAGCTGGGTTTGTGAAAGAGCCATGAGAAGAGCCTTGAGAATCTGGGCTGTCTGCTGCTGTTACTGTCACTTTACATCACCCCCACTACTCCCTGGCTGGGGCTAGTCTGTCTGCATCCATCGGGAAGGCAGTGGTCCCCATTCCCCTAGCAGAGAAACACAGGCAGTATCCACCCCTTAAAGGGCACTTTTCCCACCTTTGCCCTCTTCTGCCCTGGACCACTTCTACACCTGAAACTGTTCCTGACTGTCAGTGATGTCTAAGATGCTTCAATTAACTCCTCAAAACAGGGAAATCTTGAGGGATAGGTGATACCTCTACATGTAAATTATTGCAAATATTAGTGTTTATCTGTCTATTTGAAAACATCAAAATCTCTGTATGGTGATATTGTCAAAATGTAAGCCTTTAAAGCATTGCCATTACAGTTTACAGAGTAGGTATTGGATTAGACAGACTGCTAATTTTGAAAATGGAAGTTAGCATTATCTGTGCTGGCTTATCAGTCAAATGGATGGGAAAAAGTATTGGAAAATAAACAGATTAATTGCAATCTTATCAGAAAGCTGGTAATGAGCTAAAATTATTGACACTCTCTTTGTCTTATTGTTACATTACCAGGACACCTCAAAAAATAAATTCATTATTTTCTATTAACCTTCAACTCCCGGATGGGTGGAGGGCTTCTTTCTATCTGTGTTACATCTGGATTTTGTTTCCTTGGGATTAAATCCCATTCTGAATTTGACTGCCCGAAGGAAGATTGTATTGTCAGAGAATCAATGAATGATATACTTCTACTTCAGTGTTCTTCTGAAGGTTTAATATGTCAGTGCATTCAAACTGACACCTACATGCTGCTGATATTGAGCACAATAATTTCTTGTGGAGAGAAGTCTTATGCTTTTGAAGGAATGGCAGTATTTATAGCTGAGGCTCACTGCTCATTGTAGCTAAGGGCAATACACCACTTATAGTTACTGTGTCATGAGTATGGCTTTTGATTTTCCTTTAGGATTGGATTCATTTTTTAAGTTTTATGTAAAATTCTGTCAAATCAGAATATAAGGATGACAGTATTTTTGCCCTATAGATTCTTCACCAAGCTGTCCTGCTTCTAAAGGCTATACAAAAGAATAATGTAAAATCTACATTTTATTCTACAAGTTGATACATGAGGAACAAGTGCTGCTTATGCACTTCATACTTTTCTCATAACTGATTCTCTTCCATTTAAGTTACATTTAGTATGTGCCCTTGGTTCACTAAGTCTTGGCTCAGGCAAACTTTCAGGTGTGCAATTTTAAGTACTTGCTTAACTGAGTCACAAAGCCAAGACTAATATTTCTGAAGTTACATAACCACAAATGTTACCATTTGTAAAGCTGCCCTCAAATACTGATTTTTGTACCCTGTTGCCCCTTTTAGAGTAAGATTGGTACACTGTATCTCTCTTTCAGTTCAACTCAGTTAATATTGATGTAAGACTAACTACTGTATTGTCATTTGATTTCATATTACATATCTTACATCTTTTTTCTTTTCTTTTTTCCTCATTTTCTTTTGATCTTATGTTATAGTTTTTGTTCCTTTTTTTGTTTTTTTCACTAGCATTCATTCTGTGGCCTTGATGACACAACTGAGCCAAGATGTATGGTTGGTATTCTTTATATTTCTTTGTACTCAATTTTTGACACTTAGATTTTGCCATGTTTTGGGAATTGTGTTTGTAAGACCCTGATACCTTGGGCGAGGGTATAGTGTTTTCTCTTTCACAGAGAGGAAGAGTCACCCATAAAATCCGACTTGGATGCCTTCAGTTACCTTTCTAGACTTCTGCAGAAAGTCATTGGGTTTTCAGTGAGAAATTATTTTGCATTCTAAGATACTGACTGCCCTAGATGCAGTGGGTGCTTTTTAATTCTGCAGAGCAGGTACATTTTATCTAAAAGTTCAGGTATTGCTGTAAGATCCTACATTCTGTTGTGCTGGATGGAGAGGTGGCAAGCACTGTTTGGTTTTCATTTGTGTTTTCTAAAAACAGTTTTGCTTTCTGGACTCTTTTGTGTGTTTATTCAGCTTCCAACACATTCAGTTACCATCTTTCTGTTGATGCTCTTGGGAACTGGCTGTGGTCTTTCATTAGTAACATTGCTGCATATGTTTTATATTTTGCAATGAAATGATGGTAGATGCAGGTGGGTGGAATGTAATACAAGGGTATTATTGATTTGTTGCAAGTGCAGTAGCTTTCTTTTTGTTGTTAGATGGGTGTTGAAAATTAGTTGAAATTGAGCAGTATTTTTACAGCATTTTGAACATTTCTTTTGAAATTTCCTTTATTTTGTCAGATTAAGCATAGGCATACAGAGATGTGTTTGAAGAAAGGAGAAGCCTTGTGGTACACTATTCACCTTTCCACAGTTTTAGCTGAATTTTGTGTTCTGTAGGGATTGGAAAGGACAGATGGTATTTTGGTTAATGCAAGTTATAAAAGGTAATGTTAAAGGAAGTCACTGAGTTATTTTCTTTGGAGTTTGTCCAGCTTTTTTACTCCATTCCTGGTTAGAGGTGCTAACATCTGGATAAAAAGTACTCAGTTTTGAATACTGTGAAAAGTATACTGGCCAAGTTTAGAGACACTTTATAAACATTCCAGAAACTTAGTGAGATGACCAGCATTTTTTATATTCCATTTAAAATATTTTGAAATACTATGAGTGTATCAGGCTTAGGCCTGATCTGTAGACATCTGTACTGATATAGCTGATAGTATTATGGGTCCCCTTTGAAAAAAAAGAAAAAAAGAAAAAAAATATTATAAGTGTATTTAGTCTCCAGAAAATAGATTGTGCTGATATAACCTGCTATTCTTCCTATTAGCAGCAACTATTTAAGTAATTAAATTCAAGGTTGGTGACAAACATTTTGAGGGGATAACACCGGGATAATGGCTATGTGGCCATATAGCTACTCAACTCTCACATTTCTAGGAGTGTACATGAGATTGTGGTGCTAGTGTGGAGGGCAATTTCCTTTAATTCATCTTGCCAGAGGTGAATCTGTCTCTGATTAATGTACCACAGCAAAGCCTATTTTAAGACACTTAACTATAGTTGGACTCTTGAACATTGTTCATTATTTCAAGGCAAGCCAGGTGATTTACTGATAGTAGTTTTGGTTCTTGTTACTTTGAAGCTAATATAAAACTTTTAGAAAGAGACTCTGGTGGCTGTGAATTTAGGGCCTGGATGCCGACACTTATTTATAAATTAATATTTTCTATCTGAAGCTCAGCATACTTTTTCTTTTTTGTTGTTGTTTTTGTTTTCTGTTTTGTATACAGGCTATTAAAAGAACCTATGGAGTGAACAGCTGAATCCACGTGCAAAAATACAGAAAATATTTATTGAGCATCTTTAAATTGGTGCGCTTTTTTTTTCATAAAACAGTTTGCATAATACCTGAAGCTGCAAAATATTTGAATTTAAAATTAGAGATTTTTTTTAAGATATAGCGTCAAGTTGGAATGATTTGATAATCAAATAAGGACCAGCACATCATAAACACTGAAAAAAATCTAAACAGAATTTACACTCTCACACCAATCAAACACTGGAAAAAATACAAGTGCAATTACTGGCTGCTATGTGAACTATTATCTACCAAATGATTTTCTTACAGTACTGAGATCTTTGTCTCCATACTGCATGCTTTCAACAAATGTCGTTTGCATTTCACCCGGGAAACACAGAAACTCCTTTTTAATATCTATACAAAAAAGCTAAATGTTTGACAATAAGTTGTCTACAGTAAATAGCTGACAGGGAAAAAACTGTTCAAAGTTGGAAACAAATAGAAATTTACAACCCTGCCGTTGTAAAATTCATATTAAATTCACAAGGTGGAGATCCACAGATGGAAAAGAGATGGGTTTTGGAGAAAGACAAGATGGTAGATTGAACTAAGAAGACTCTGAAGTAGGTAAGAACTGTGTGGGAGAAATATTTTTTTTGTATGTTTCTTGAAAATTAAGGCAATAACTTGTAAAGATAGCACTGGGAGAACAGAACATCCTGAGGTGGCCTGAGAAGTCAGGAAAAGAGACTGCATGATGCGCGGTGCTCAGTTGTCTCTTCAAGAGAAAGAGGGGCTTGAAGAAATGAGTGTGTAGACAAATGTGATAAGCAGAGAAATTGTTGGAAATAAATATTTGGAAATCATGTCATCCTCCTAGGTGAAATAAAAAAATGTTGACATTACCAGGAAGCAAAAATGGCACAACCTCAACCTGCAGAGGTAGATAAACAGTCAAGGACATTGACCACCTGAACTGCAAGAAAAGTATTTGGATGGAGCACAGACTGAAAAAATGAAAGTTGAAAAGAGTTGTTGAAGATGGAGAGATGGAGAATGGTTAGAAAATTCCAAAAGGTTAGGCTTTTGATTCAAAGATGGAAAAGCAAAAGCAAATTGTTTTCTCAGAGCTAGAAGGCAATATGAAGAAATAGATAAAGTTAATTATTCCTGGAATGTTGAGGCAAGCTGAAAATATTAAGAGCACAATATTAAAAGATAACTTTTCTCCCTCGCATTTTATTGAAAATCATATTTTTGTTAAAAGGGCTACATAGAAAGCTACAGAGAAACAAGTTGCTCCCATGGACACACTGAATGCCAACATAAGCATAGAGCGGAATAAGATGGTTACAATAATACATCAGGTAAAGTGGAAATCATGAATGAAAAAATAACATCAGGCAAAGAACAATCAAGGCAACACAAAGAAAGCTGAGGAGAAGATTTGTCATAGCAACTAAATAACTCACTGTTGAAGGTGCAGGAATCAGCCTCAAAAGAAGCCAGTTTTCTCAGATAATTTTTAGTCTCTGAAGTAAGACCAAAGATGTACTCTTCACAAAGAATCGCCAGACAAGATCATTGACTTGCTGAGGGAGCTGAGGCCCTCCACAAGTTTAATTGCATTAGATGCAGCAAACTGTGGCTTGTGTGAGGATCTGAATAACCCTGTTTCCTGGTACAAAGCACAATTTAAATTGGAAACAAGGATCATATAAAGGTTTGGAAACTCAATCCCAAAAATAATGTGTTGCTTACAATGTGTTGTTCAAAAGGAATAAACATTTAGGGAATGTGTTTTCAAATAGAGATTTTTCATGTTTTAATTAAAGCTTTTAGCAGTGTGAAGACAGAATGTGGAAAAATGAGGTCTTCGATGCAAAAGGAAGAGTTTTGGCATTACTCTGAAGAGAAGGACCACAACAGGAGATAAACAGATCTTAAGATAACCAAACCATGTGCTGATGAAGGAACAGAAATGTGAACGTGTGATTCACTTAGCAAAGGAACACTCTTTCTTCTCATAGACATAGTTTTGCTCATCACTTCTTTGGAAATGAAACTATAAGCAAAGCACAAACATGGGATGGTCAGAACATGTGGCTGCAACAATAAGAGCACTGCAGAGACAGGAGTTACAAAGCAGAAAAGGTATGAGCAGTTTCATTTTCTTATGTGTTTAGTTACCTTGCAATTCACATGTGACAGTTTTCTTAAAGAAACTGGCTGATTTGGCTGATTTGGGTGATTACATTAATGATGGTTTTATTCTGTGCTGATCTAGCAGGACTTACAGTTTTGGAAAACTGAGTATATCATTCCAGTCTTACTATCCATTGCATGTTGGTATTTATTATGGAGCCAGGAATAGGTACAGTGTGTTAAGTGACTAGATTAAGTCCATGCAAGATTCTGGGCCTGATTTGCACTTTCTGTGACACAGCTTTTAAATCATCTGTCCCAGCTGTATAAGTGAAGAAGGAATATCGTTTGTGATATCACTCGTAACAGCTTTCTTGGTTTTATGCTGAAGTTCTCAGTAGTTTTCGGGATGAAGCACCAGAAGTGTAGAGCATAATGGATCAAGCGGTTTGAGATCATCTTTTGAAATTGTTGTATTAACTTTAATTATATCAGTGAATAAGAGTGCACTTAGTACTTGTTTATAGAAATAAGTGAGTAGAAATCAGTGTAATTATTTTAAGTGACAGTTTATTTCCTGCCTGGTCCAGCCTCACTGCTTTTACCTGTTGGCTACTTTCTGCAGAATACACCACTAAAAATTTTAACTTTTATAGTTTATGAGTTGGATATCAGGCTGGTGCACAGTTGAAAATGGCATTAATTTGACTTCCACTGTAAATTGTTAATGAGCAGAGTAACAATGTCTATTATTATTATTATTGTTATTGTTACTGTTATTGTTATTGTTATTATTATATTATTATATTCCTTTTGCAGTGGTGTTCAGAGATATGCATTGTCACAGAGCAGGATGCCTATTCACTTTACAAATAATAAATACAGGCAAAAAATTAGTGCCTCAAGGAGCTCAAAATCGAATACACTGTTCTATTTGGAAAATTAAACAGGCCAGGGGAAAGCCATGATTATGTTTATAGGTCTCAGGAATGCATGGTCTCTGAGAAGGGACTGGGCTTGGTTAAGTCTAAAGATCAAAAAGTAGTTTGAATTTTGTTGTCCATGTGGATTTATAATTTTTCTTTCCACACTTGTAGATTTTAAGTATTGTGGCTTCTCAAGTGACTGAAGGGTGGCTGAATCTTTTCATCTCTAGGTCCTTGTGTGGCTGACATAAGGCCAGTGAGTGATACAATGGGCCAAAATAATAACATTTTATGTAATTCACCATATGCATGAATAGCGCATATCAAAACATGGGACAATAAGAGGAGCTGTTTGTTTTGGGGTTTTTTTTGCACTGATTTTGTGCTACTTTCTACTCTTCAGTGGAAAAAATAAATATTACCTTTTTTCTTCTTCTTTGCCCTGTAGTTACAGCATTTGTTTACCAAAAAAAAAAAAAAAAAGCAAGCAATTAAATTATTTCCTGGAGAATAGGTCCAAACTCGGTGGTTGAATTCCAATTACAGATCCAATTCCAAATCAATACAAATGTACAAATGTAGCAAAAGCGGTCATTTCACAGATGCCAATTATAGGACTATACTTGCTGAGGAGAGTTTCTTTAAATGAAGGTGAATTGCAGGCTGAAGAACTTTTAGAGCTACTGCTAAAAGAGGCAAAGGAAAAGAACCAAACTTAGCTTGCCTTCCCAAGCCCACGTTTAAAATTTCCTTTCAGGCATGGTTTCATATCCTGTCAGAGGTGAAGTAGACTTTGAAGTAAAATACTGTACACAGAATTCCAAAATACCAGTTAAATATATTGAATGTTTCTCTGAAATAGTCATAGGTTGCCTTTTAAGTAGGAAATATTCTTTTTTAATCTTCTGTCTTGAAACAATAAAAATATCTTACATTTTTCTAAACTAGGTACCACTTTTTTTGTAGTAAACATACTCAATTTTATGAACTCCTCTAGCAGAAAATTATCCTCTTTTCAGAACTTTGATGCCTAATTCCTTCATGAATTAGTCTAATTGAATCTTTTATGGGGATCTCATGTTGTGAACTGCAACTCCTTTCATACATGCTGAATTACCTTAGGGCTAATGAAATGAGACTCTCTCATAAATAATAAATATGTTCAGAATCGAGAAGGACTGTTCATTTGATCATCAGAGGCTTAGACTCTTTTATTTGCATGCTTAGACTCCAGTTCATTGAGAACCTAATAATTTGGGGTTTTTTCACCATGGATCCTTCATCTGGGAGAGAACAAGAATTTTGTTACTGTATTAATATACCCAGTAATGAAGGATTTGATATCCTGAATTTCAGTGTTAAAATTGATACTTCCTGGATTTTCCAGGAATTAGAAGATGCAAGCATATCTGATGAACAAGTAAACAGTTCTGGAGACGAGAATTTGAACCTCAGAATAAAAGAACTGGAAAAGTTGGAGCAAAAACTGAAAGGTCTTTTAGAGGACTACATGGAGTCAGATTCTGTCCTAAAAAATAGGTAAATAAAAGGGGGTTTTGCATTCAATATTAATGTGATGGGACAAATGTACTCTTCCCTTTGCCCCATGTACTGTCTGTCAAATGATACATGCAAACCTAGCAAAAAGAAAGACTTTATGTGGTTTTAGGGTGCCTGATGAGATGCATGTATAAGTTTTTTGTGTAGCTGTCAAAATAGAAATGCAATATTCTTTTTTTTTGTTTTGTTTTTATTATTTAAATCAGATTTACAGCATGATCTAAAATCTTGTTGCAGATAAACACACAGGTTTCTCAGCATATTTCATTCTTAATTATTCACAAGACGGTAATTCTGCTTGTAAAATATATCCACTTCCTTTTAAACTGAGAGTTAATTTGGAATTTTGTGTTGCAAAAAAAGTTCCTTATTTCAGAAAGCTTCATCTAGTTTAGTATGCTAATTCAAATAATTTCTGTAGCTAAAGGTGCCATTAGGCATTAATTATGTAGTTGACTAGAATAAGTTCAGGGTTTTGATAGTCAGCAACTACACTGTTCTAAACAACGCCAAATAGTTTAAAAGATATAAAATATAAGTGGCATTCAAAAAAAATATTTATATAATTTCTTAATTGCTTTGATTCATCAAGGGATTTGGCCAGAAATGTTTTAATAATGGGATTTTTGTCAAAATAATAATGAATCCTTTTGCAGTGGAAGCTTTCATAGGAATAGGCCTGTTTTAACAAAGATTTCAGGGAGCGGGAATGGAAGAAGCTTTATTTAAAACCAAACCAAATAAAGTACAAGAGAACAGTTCATGGAGAGCAAATGACCAGCTGAAACTCGTGTGGGATATAGGAAGCCCATTTTCAGGGATCTTGGCTAGCCAGTAGAAATAAAAGAAATCTTGTGCCTGAAGTTTTTGTGTCTGAAGCACAGAGAGAGGAGATGAGGAATGGTGTGGAAAGTAGAACTATTGGAAAAAACAGATAAGCAGTCAGTAGCTTTAAGTATCCAGGGCGGAGTTAGGGGCTGATGTGGCCCAGTTTCCTTTGATAGCTGTGTTAGATTATGCAGTGCCTGCGGTGAGGAGGACCTCGTTGGTTTTACTTTGATACATGAATAGGTACTTATTTAATTATGTGTTTTCTATTTTAATCCTGTTGTTTCAGAATTACGTTCTTATGTGAGATTTTTGAAAGAAGCTAGTGTTGTCTTGCTGGGATGGAGGTAGCAGGAAATTTTGGCAGGTAGGTGCAGTGAGACAAAGCTAGAAGAGAAATGAGCAGGGGAGCTGAGTGGGAGACTGTTGAAGATTGAATGAAGAAATTCAAGGAAGAAGATATGGTACAGTACAGTCCTGAGGGACGCAGCGGGGGTAATGTGTGCTTCTCTGAGATGAGAAAAGAGGTGGTTCTAGTAGCAGCCACAGAAAATGAGACACTGGAAAAAATTTTTCTTTAATAAGGAAAGGATGTTTTGGAATTCACAACTGTTTAAAGAATTGAGAATTTTTTCATGTGTAGGCTGAAAAGGGAAGGAAAACCTTAAGGAAAACATGAAGCTTGCTCTTGTATGATTGTCTTAGGTATTTCTTCTGCACAGAGGAACCCCATCATATCACACCGCATCATTTTACACTATCATTTTAATAGCAGCAGGCAAAGCAAACATGTATTTTGTCAAAATCTGGCTCTATAGACAAAGTCAATACATTTATGCGTGATAGGTTTCAGTACCCATGTGAGGTATGTTACATAAGATGTTTTCCCTTCGGTCAGTAAAAAATACTTTTAGGTTACCTGTATTCTTATTTTTGATGGGAAGCATTTACGGTCATCATAAAGCTTGAATTTGCTAACCATGAACCTAGCAAAATCCTATGACCTGTAGAGACCAAAGTGATTGTGGTTGTTCTTATGGTAAGTTGTTACTCCATAGAGTGTGCCAAGATTCAGTGAACATTAAACTTGTAAATGTATTTGCTTATGGTTTTCATATTAAGCCAGCAGAGAGAAAATGAACATAGACGTTGTCTTTAACAGTTTTGAGAGTCGCCAGTGTAATGTGCAAACCCCAGTAGACTTGTTAAGAATTAAGTATTTATTGTTAGTATAATTTATTGTTAGTGATCAACAATTTGTTATTATTTTATTGTTGTGAGGAAAATGGAAAAATTGATGCATTGCTGATGACTACTTATCCATCTGGAACTGTACTGTGTGATATTTACTTAGCAAAGATGTTCATTGTCACTATCACAGGATGAAAAAGCTGGAGCTGTCACACAAAACACTTCTTGTGACAATCGATCAACTAAATGTGAAGTTGCACCAGGTTGAAAATGCAAATGTGCGTGTTAAAGGGAAATTACGAGACATTCAGGAGGACCTGATAAACTTGGTGAGGATATTGTTTCAAATGACTTAGTTTAGCTTCTCTTTGTTGTAATCATAGAATGGTTTGGTTTGGAAGGGACTTTAAAGATCATCTAGTTCCAACCCCCTCTGCCATGGGCAGGGACACCTGCCCCCAGCCCAGGGTGCTCCCAGCCCCGTCCAACCTGGCCTTGAACCCTTCCAGGGAGGGGGCAGCCACAGCTGCTCTGGGCACACTGTGCCAGTGCCTCACCACCCTCACAGGGAAGAATTTCTGCCTTATATCTAACTTAAATCTACCCTCTTTCAGTTTAAAGCCACTATGTCTTGTCCTATCACTAGGAAAAAGTGATAGAAAGTAAAAAGTCCCTTGTGAAAAGTCCCTCCCTATCTTTCCTGTAGCCCCCCTTTAAGCACTGGAAGGCCGCTATAAGGTCTCCCCGGAGCCTTCTCTTCTCCAGGCTGAACAACCCCAACTCTCTCAGCCTGTCCTCACAGGGGAGCTGCTCCAGCCTCTTGATCATCTTCGTGACCCTTCTCTGGACCCGCTCAAGCAGGTGCATGTCTTTCAGGGCCCCAGATCTGAATGCAGTACTCCAGGTGGGGTCTCAAAAAAGCAGAGTAGAGTGGGAGAATCCCTTCCCTCCTGATGCAGCCCAGGATACAGTTGGCTTTCTAGGCTGTGACCGCACATTGCTGGCTCATCGTCAGTCTTCCATCCACTAATACATGCCAAGTCGGTCTCCGCAGGGCTGCTCTCGATCCACTCATTACCCAATCTGTATTTGTGCTTGGGATTGCCTTGACTCATGTGCAGGACCTTGCACTTGGCCTAATAATAACTAATAATTTAAAACTAATAATTTAATAATAGTAATAAATATAAATATAGTATTAACTAATAATTTATAAGTCAATCTCATCTCCAGTGACCTCTCTGGTTTTAAGTAATAAATCATCTCAGTCTTTCTCTTCTACAGTCAGAAGAATCAGAAGAACTTTTTAGTCTTTTTTGCCCCACTTCCTAATGGTTCTGACAGCACTTCCATTATTCCCCTCATTTGGCCCTTGATCTTTGAGATATATGCTCCCACTTCCTTCTTTCCCCCCAGAACCCATTCAGCACACTCCTTCTCCCTAGGTCAGACTTTATCTTTCTAGACCCATAATAAAGCATTTTTTTGGTTTCCCTACCATAGGCAATACAACAGCACAAGAAAGCTAACACAGCCTATTTTCTGTATAAAATGTAGCTGCTTAGCCCATCATCTGACTCTTTAATTGCTCACGCATTTTCAAGCTGGACCCCATCCGCCGTTGCATTCACTTTAAGATTCCTGCTTAGCTTTGTGTCCTCTTCCATCTTTCCTAGATTGATTTGGGTCTTACCTTCTTCCCTGTGATGCATCACCATGTGGGCCACCACTCTGCAGAGCCCTGCCAGTGTGAGCCTTCCTCTGCAGAGTGCCCTTCACTGGGTCAAGCAGACCTGCTCCTTCATTGCCAAGAGTGACCCACTGCTGTCTGCATGCCCTCACGACTCCCCCCCCTCTATGCCTGTTCTGAAATTACCACATCTGCAGTGGAAAGCCTTTGGTTCTACCAAGTGCTAGTACTTCTTCACATAAATTTTTTGTATCAGGAAGGACAGCTGTTGGCTGGTAACACATACAAGAGGCATTTTTACCCAGTTTGCACAGCATATTGGATGGATCCATGAAAATAGGAGGAGGAATGAAAGTTTTTCAGGGACAGTCTGCAGTGAAACAATGTCTTTTGATTCTGTTTATCATAAGATACATTTTCATTTTCTCAGCATTTTAGGTCAAACTCTGACAGAACACTAGTACCGTGCAGCAAGACTCAAAAGAATGAACAACAGTCTTTTCTTATTTAATTAAAAGTGAAATGTATTTTTTAAGATTCAAGAAGCTTAGACATACATATATTCCCATCAACAGTTATCCAAAGAAGGTATTATCCCACACCTACCTGACTTTTCATAACATTTCAGCCTAGTGTTCCTCCTGTCCTGTCCTTGCCAGTGAACCCCTCAGACAGGAAAGTACCAAAGATCAAAAAGACTGACCTAAAGAAGCCCTTGAAGAAATACAGTAATGTCTCTGTGCCTTCGGTCTTGCTTCAGAGTTGCCACAGTGGTCCTATGATACTGGTGGCTCTTACTTGGCTCAAAACAAGGGCAGCATGGGAATCATGAAAACCTCCTCTGTCTTTCATTGACACCTTTCACCTCTGTATGTCTCTGTGTTCAAACACACTTTGGTGCAAATGAAAATACTAAAGTCTTTCTCAAACTGATTCCAAAGGCATCTGTTCCTTTCTCCTTTTTCAGGGGGTTCATAAAAGTAGCTGACAGATGACAGGTATGGTGAAGGGCAAAGGGCAAAAGCTTGGTCTCTGGAAAGCATGTGTTCCATTTTCTATAATAGAACCACAGTTTCCCTGCCCGTAACATCTCAGTGCTACACTGCTGCCAGTGTTAAGGATCTGTTACTGTATAGTTCAAAGCTGGATATATGAATTCCAGTTCAAAGGTTTCTTTTGATTTAATATGTACTATAGAATATGCAACACAAAGTTTAAACACTGTCCTGTATTTTTATGTAGTTGTAGATGTTGGTGAGTTTGTGGTTTGTTTGTTTGTTTATTTCCTAATGAGATGTTTCAGTGATGGCTGAAATGACAAAACAGTAGGTCAGTTTTGCTCTAAATGCAGGATTTTACTGGTTTTAAAAAATTTCTACTTATGCTATTCCTGACTTTTCAGAAAACAAGGGCAGAATTATTGCAAAATTAAGAAAAATTATTTGGGAAGAGAGTTAGTATTAAGATGTTAACCATACAACTCACTGAAAATTATAGGTTGAAAATCAAGAAAAGTCAGAGAAGAAGCAAAAGGAAAAATTACGTTGGCTTCAGGAGCAGCTGAAGACAAAAGAAGATGAAATAAAAAGCCAGTCAGAGTATTTTGAACACTACAAACAAAGGCAGAGACAGCAGACAGCAGTGCTGAGAGAAAGGGAATGTTACCTTCGGGGTGAGGTATCTAGGCTGGAAAAGCAAGTCCTAGATCTTAGTGCCCATACTGCTCTTTTGACATCCGAGTTAGAAGAAGGAATGGTGCAGTATCTCCAGCAGAAGCTGGAATCAGCATTCAGTGGGACTCAGGGCTATAAACACTCTGACGTGGATGTAATGGAATTGAAAACTTGCATTGAAAATGTGGAGCATGACATGAAAAGCCACCTCAAGACATTTCAGCAAAATCTGAAGTTCTTAAGTGAAAAAGAGGAGGACAACAGAAGAGAACAGGCAGACCTGCTGACTGAACTCCAGTGCTCTCAGGACACTGAAGACTTTCTCAGAAGAAAATTGGAAGAATCTTGCCATCATGTTTATAGTCTGAAATTATCTGAAATCAGACTACAGGAAAAAATGGAAGAGCTTTTGGATGAAAATAGGGCTTTAAAAGATCAAAGTAGGGTGAAGGTGAAAAAAGAGAAAGAAAAGGACTCACGACTGACAAGGTTGGAGAATGGAGACAGCAGTGTTGACCTGGTAAGTAAAAATAAGGCAAAATATAATTAGCTTTTATCTTTATGTCACCCTGGATTACACTTGTCATTAGATGTGCAATTGAGATGAAAGTGTGAGGCTCTTTCCTTCCAGCATTTTTTTTTCTTTATTTCTGATGATGCATTAGTACGTCACAGTGTCTAATTCATACCTGCTGGAATCAGTAGTTGGAGCTTCAGTGCAACAGTGCTTTTATTAGGTGCACCTTGAGGCCACTTCACACATAGTGTTTCCTTAAGCTTTTAAGTGACATGCCCAAGGCAAAAGGCCTCAGTTGGCACTAGAAGTAGAGCTCAGAAACTTCTGAAACTTCTGTCCCGTGGACACTATTCAGTGGAGTACACATATGGTTGGGTGAGTTTTCACATGTTATTCATGCCCAAATGCTGAAGAAAAAAGCACAGCTGACAATAAATCTTGTCTATGAGATTTTCTGGATAATGATAAACAAGGGAAGATGGATACAGTATTCATGACTGGGAGGAAATTGAAATATTCAATGGTTTGCAGCTCCGTAGCATTGTGATATGCCCTGAATACACTGAATAGGACTTGTTTGCTTCAAGCACTTCACTCCAGCATTGCATGGGAAAGCTCTGCATATGCTGTAATATGGCATTCAGCTTCTGCCAATTCATTTTGCTGACATGGAAAAATTCTTTTCACAGTAAGGACTCAAACAAAGTTTTATTCTTTATGCGCTGAGGTGAAGGGTATTTTTATTCTGAGGATTTGTTTAAAAAAGTGAAATCAGCTAAACCTCACACTCAGCCTCTCCATTCAGACTGTGACCTGATATCCCAAGAACTCTCCTGATTTTAACTGCAGTTAACTGAGAGGTGATGGGCATGAACAAAAACCCATTAGTATAGGAGGACAATCAGACTGTGAGTACTTCCAGAACTGTGAGAAGGTAGAGAGGATCTTTTGGCTGTAAAAGCTAGAGGAAATAAAGACAAAGTTTTAAACCTCATAGTTGAATGAACGTTTGCAGACATGGTGGTTTTGTACCGATAGTGGCTCTACAGTCCCAAAGAAGTGAGCTCCAGGAGGTTTTCTCTGTGCAAGAGAAAGAGTGCTAGGATTGTCCTCCAGAAACCAGCAGTATGTGGGTGATCTCTGTGGAGAGCTCAGAAGCTGTGCCTCACTGCATGTCTCCATAGCTGCCCCGAGATGGCAGAAGAACTGACTGCTGTTGCTTATTTTTATACTTATCCTGAACCATTGCTACAGTTATATTAACTAGTGAGTTCACTTTTTCCTGAGGATGAAGAATAAGTTTTGAAAATATTTAAAAATATTTATAGAGGGACACTGAGTTGTAAAGAGGTACAACAACCAAGTGCACTGTGAGGTGACTGCATAGCTAAAATCAGGAGGAGTGAGGGCTTTCAGAGCCAGGAAAGAAGTAGTAAAAAATTACCATTGTTTTGAGAAAATTAAGAAAAGGAGAAGGTACACGTTGAGTTATTTGAAGGTGTGAAACTAAGATATATCAACTGACAAATTGTCTCAGACTAATCCAAAAAGTCTTCAAAAAACAGGGCCAAATTTCTATGATTCTATGCTGTACCCTAATAAAAGGTTATTTTTTAGCTCTGTAGAAAATTTTCTAATCATTTATTTTATAAATATTAATTTACAGCTGTGTTGTCATAGGAGGTTACAGAGTCTCAAATACCCAGTTTTTCATGTAAATGAACAGGCCATAATTTCTGTTAATTCAGGTTACTTTGGTCTGCTGCACAATAGGTTGTATTCCTTAAATGCTGTGTATATTATCCGCAGCATAAAATCTTGTGGCTTCTGCATTTCTGGTTGTCTTTTCCTCCTCTTTTGGTACTGCTGTTAATTCATTTGGATTTTTTTTAGTAGAAAATGGCTTGAAATAGCAAGGAAAAAAATTCAGTATCTATGATAAAAGGAGGAGGGAGACATCTGGTGTTGTACTGCAAAACTGAAGAAAGCTTTTTCCTCTTACCTTGTGTTTTACTAGCACCAGTTAAAATAGAATTTCCTAATCTCATTACCTTGATTTTGTAGTATTCAAGCCAAATAGTTACAAGAAAAATACTATTTGAGCTCATCATAATTTATCAACAGCTGTAAAAATGAGAAATTGTGTGCAACACAAGAAAGATTTTCATGCTGTTAGTTTTCCGTAAAGCTGCTTGTATATAATTTTTCAGTGAAGGAGCAAATGGGATCGTTTGTCTGTTTCACAGCCAGGAAAAAAAGTAGTTTGCGAAGACAGGATTATCAGACTCCTGTGAAATACACATGGTATGAGATTCCTCAATAAATACCATGTCATCCAAAAGGCAAACACATCAGTTATTTGTGAAAACTAGCCTTAGTCATTATTGCATCTTCATGCAATAATATCAGATTCAATTAAGTGTTTTGTTCTGGTATTGCAGAGGTGAACTGCATCTCATAGAGGGGTGTAGTCACATAAATCTTGTTGGGAATTTGAATTTTCAAACTTGATATCAGGATCCTGTCTGCAATATTCCAATTGCAGCCTATGCCTGAATGAAGAGTACACAGAAAAACAGATGGTTCCATATGGCTGTGTCTTGATTTATCAGTTTCTAGATGTGAATGTTAGGGGTCTGTTGAAGGTGTTGGTGAAGGAAAAGTATGAAATACCAAGTGATACACCTTTCTACAGCTTTCATGTGACAGCTGAGGTCTTGATTTCACAATATGATGTTCGTGGAATCCAAGCATTGTATCTTTTATATCATTTGATGTAACTACCTTTTGACAGAATGCACATATCAATAAAGAAGTAAAGTCAAACTTGCAGGAAAAGAATGAGTGCGTTTCAGTGAATTAACATTAGCTTCAGTGTTACTGAGAAAATGAAGGAAGAAATATTGGATATGTTGTGGTTTCCACTTAAATCATGACTCCCAGCCAAGATCTCGTAAAAGAGCACTATAATGTGGTATCTGACTTGGGTGAAATGAAAATTATTCTCACTGGTAATCCTGTGTAAAATCAAGTGGCTTCTTCTGGTTCACTATAGACTGAAGACTTTGAAGTAATTTCCTTTCCCATCTGTGTGTAATTCTAAAGCTGCAGCTCAGTCCAAAGGGACCAGGTTTATTTTCTGATGGCATCCGATGCAGAGCAGTGCAAGAAGACAAAAGTGACTGTGTTGGCTTGTTTTCTGCACTGTAGTTGTTTTGTCTACCACCTCGATTAAGTGTTTTGTTGAGAAAATCAAACCTGAGTCTTCTGTTCACTAAAAATGAGCATGGTGCGTGTGAAATGTGGCCTGATGTGTATCAAACAATAAGGGCGTCTGCTTTGCACCAGAAATTTTCACAATTTCCAAATTCATTCAGGGAGTAAAATAAATGTCAAGAACATAATATGAAATTTACAATTAAATTGTCAATGGAAAAGAAAATTTCATTTGGAACAATTATTCCACTTCGAGTTCTTCCGACCTAGGAACAGTTGTCTTTGTAGCTGGGCACTGAACTATTAGTCTCATTCCATACTTGATTGAACTTTCTTTTCTCTTTGTTCATGAGCATATAATTTAGTCTCGGTTCTAAAAACATTCCATCTGTAATCTGACGTATTACATGCTTATTACTCAGATTTTCTTCCTTACCTCTTTTTAGAGTATGAAGGAAATATTAGGGTGAGGTTTAAAACCACAACATTTACTAGAAAATGTTGGAATGAGAAAACTGTATGAAATAATAGCAATTATAATGAAATAATGGGTCTTTTGAATGTAAAATAGCAAAGAAAATTTATGTGCTGTTTTTTCATATCACACTGTATATTTATAATCTGTTTTTTATTTTTCCTCCTCCTTTTCCCATACAGAATGGAGATCTAATCCAGGACAACGTTCAAAATCTGAGATGGAAAGCAGTCTTGGACTCACTCAGAAGCAGAGCTACTCAAACTCCATTTGGGCTGCTACATGCTAAAGAGTCTGGTATAGAAATAAACTGGAATTTTTGCTTTCATTTTTGTGCAGTAAAAGTGAAGATGATTTCATTCATGTGGTGTGCATGACTTAGAAGGTATAAGACCTTCTAAAAACCTCCTAATCTGGAAACTGTATCTTGGGAAGGTGAAACAATAGCTATTTGCTAGTGTGCTACTAGCATTTAGATATGATCTTACTCAAGAAATCCTAGAACTTTCAGGAAGCTACAGAAGTGAGGAATTAGAGGATACTTCCCCTGTCCTGGTTGAATTATAGTGTTTGGGAATGCTATGCAGAAGTCAGATTTGCTTTTCAGACCAAACAATGTGAAAGCTCTTATCTTAGCAAATTGTATCAGGTAGATTCTTCCAATGTAAATTAATGGAAATTTTATAGCAAATTTCCATGTATGCAAATGCAGACCTGCACTGAATAATTCTAACCTGTAAATTTAACTCATAAATTTTAATCTACCCACTGTAATGAGATCTATTTTCCCTTTTTAAATGTTTCGAGAACTTAGGAGGGAACCCTCCAAGTACACCTTATTTTAGTGGTTAGTATTTATTTTTTCTTGTGAAGTTTGTTTTCTCATTTAACATTGTGCTTATCTCTGCATCACTGATGATGTATGCTTCTGGTACAGAAGGATGTTTTGAGCATACTCTCACTAAAATACTTTTCTGTTCAAAACATCAGGTCAGATGTTTTTGGGTTTGTTTTTCATGTAACAGTCTGGGAATGGCATTTCACTTGTCCAGTGCTTTACCATAACAGAAACACCAGGATGTAGCTGTGATGGGCTAAAGCAGATGGAGGAGCTACCAGAAGAACTTCTGCCAGTTTTTGACCACAATTCCAGTGCCTTTGCAAAAGTTACTGGTCTAGCTAAGATTGAGCAGGTGAGAAGAAAAGTTATCACTTTTCTTGCTATCTTTGTGCACAGTCAGTCTATGAATTTTGAGATAAAATGAAGAGTTAGTGTATTTAAAGATGAATATTAAAGTAGCTTTAATTCATAGCTACTAAAGGTGTTATTCAAGAGGAACACAGGTGTACACTGAGAAAATGACTGACTTATTTATACCTTATCTGTATCAGTACTCTCACTGCAAATCTTCAAATAATTTGAAAACTCTTTATAAGTAAATATGTTTACTCATCTGTCTGTAATCAAGTATTTTATGGGTGAAGTGAAAAGAAACTATGATTAGCAACACAGAATGACATAGCTTATATTTTGCAGTTTCAAACATTTCTCTCTTGTTATTACCAGGTCACCCTTGGAACAAAGAGGGGAGGTACTCTAGAAGATAGTTTCACTTTGTTCAGATGTATCCCTAGTTATTGTGGAGCAAGACTGCTTCCCCCTTGCTCTGAGAAGTTCCCTAGCAATGAGAAAAGGAAGGAAAACAAAGATGAAGAAAACTTTTCTCTCTTGAATGAACAAGGTATAAATCTGCCGGCAAAGATGTTTCCTGCTCCTATGGTTGAACCTGTGATGAGAAAGAAGCTCCAACTTACCTTGTTAGAACCTGAAAGCTACCACATACCAGCTGTCACCACTGTGAAGAAAGTGAGGAGTTTGGAATTCTGTGAGGCAAATACCAATCTTTGCTCTGATGTCCTCTTTGTTGTTGCAGAAGGAGGATTTTCTGACAAAGCTTCTGCACTTTTTCATGGAAAGATGCCTTGCACTGTGACTGAAGTTTTCACATCATCTCTAGAAAAATACAACGTAGAAAAACATTATGAAAACAATAAAATTCTGCCCAAAAGCATAAGTGAAAATAAATGTCTGGATAAAGTTGTTGATGATGGAAAATATCACCAAAAAGTCTTTAGAGGGAGAACTAAAGGAGGAGAAATAGAGACTGAGAAAGCCCAATCACAACAGGTGACCTGTGTTCCTGAAGAAAGTTTTAAACTCTTAAATAAAACTGAATTGATCAGGCCTGGGAAGCAGGGAATGGGAGCCAAAGACAGCCTAGGTAGCCCACAGGATGTCCAAAATTTATCTGTTGATTTTAAAAACTCAAAGAAACATTTTGAAGGGATCCCTGAACTAATGGAGGAACAAGGAAACTTCTCAGAAATCTGCATCTATGATATGAATAGGGTATATAATGGAGAAGACATAATCAAAATGGAGGAGAAAGGAAAGCAACCTCAGAAACAAACTCACCAAACAAACCCTTCCAGAAATATTGGCCTGAAAGAAAAGAAAGACCAGACCCTGAAACTATGTGAATCAAATGAGAAGAATTTCTCATGTCAAAATATAGCTGCTGAAAGCATGCAATTTGCGTACCCTCAGAAAATTTTTTGGTCAGAGGAAGAGAGGTATCTGATAAACATATTGCCTCCTATGCAGGAGAGGATTGTGTGCTTCAGCAAACTGTTCCTGCCAGAGAGCAATTTTTATGAGTGTTGCTGTCATCTGTCACCACTGGAAGCTGGTAATGAACATGATGTGAAAATATATGCACTAGAAAAAGTAGTGGCTGTGTGTTCTCAGAGGATATTTCTACTCATGCAAGAAAATGAAAATTACTCAAAGAAAATCAGTATATTACAACAGGAGAATGAGAAATATGCTCAGATGATGTGTGCACTAGAAGAGGAGATGGATGCATATTTTCAATACATTTTAGCAGCAGATGAAGCTAATATTGTTTCATTCCAAAACTTACTTAATGAGAAAGAAGTTGCTGGTGCATGTTATAATAACTTAACAGAAGAAAACACCATGACCCCAGGAACATTTTTTGTTGAAACCTTCTCTAAGAACCTCTCATGTGGTGAAGAGAAAAATAGGAATTCTGAAAAAGCCTCGTTGACAATTGCATCAAATAATCTTCCCAGGAGTGTTTCATCCCTGGATGGAAGGAAAATGAGATATTTCCAGCTGCTTTCTGACCTGAAAGAAGAAAGAAGCAGATGTTTCAAAGAAATAGCTAAATTATTACAAGACAAGGATAACTATTTAGCAAAATATAATGAATTAATACAAGAGAGAGAAGGAAATTTTCAAAGAATATCTCTGTTAGAAGGCGAAAAAGAAATGTTATTGGGATGTTTGACAGAAGTAAAATGTGAACAAGACAAATACAGGACCTTGGTTTCACAACTTCAAGAATGCAAAACCAGCTGTTATCAGACTATTTCTGATTTACGGGAGGAAAAATGTGTACTGAAAAGAGAAATAGACAGAATAGAGAAAGAAACTTCAGAACAGCTTGATGAATTTCATAAAGTAAATGCAAACTTTGTTTTAGAAAATAACAAATTGAAAGAACTAATATCATCTTTGGGTTTTACCTATGAAGAGCTGATAAAAGATAAAAGTTTGGGAACAAAGGAAAAGGTAGTAAAACTAAAAGAAGAAAGTCAACAATGTGGTCTTAAGCCAAAGAAAGTTGAAACAGAATGTCGTGTAACTCAGACTGAAGAAGGAGTTCCAAATAAAGACCCCTCAGACTATTTCCCTGGAAAAGAGGTAAATAGTAACGATGAGGAATGTTATCAAGCAGAATCTTCTAAAGAAAGGGGGAGATATAAATGTAATTTGGAGGACAAAGCTAAATTAACCTTGTAATATAGAAAATGTTGTAACCTCTCATGTGCTGGAGATCTGAGGTGCTAAAGTTAACAGAAATAGAAGGCAAAATACCAGAGAGGTTTTTTTCTGAATGTTGTATTAGAGAATTTTTAAGTGATACAGCAAGCTACAAAGTTAAAAATAATACTTAAAGACTGCATTGTTTCGACATTTTTAAAATTATTTATCTTATTGCAAGAGTAAAAGCTTCTGGTAGAGCAAATCAATTTCCACAAACTTCTGTTATAATGCTGAAGTATTCAGGGTTCTGAAAGAGTCATGTCTTACTGAAGAGTATGCAAATGTTCACTTACTAACTTTAATTCTGATAGGGTCTATTTTTTTTTTACTGTTTTGATTTTTATGAAACATATGCCTAGAGACAAGTTCTTTACTTATAGTGTATTTCTCGTACATGTTTTTCCTCTGTAGTCATGAATCTTACACCACATTGAATTTCTATGGAGATTATTATGTTCTTGTAAAAGCAGAATTATTACTTCAGTTTAGAATAATCAACAGGGGAAGATTTATCTCTAATATCTTGATTTTATGCAAATGTTTTTAGTAAGTGAGAAGGAAACCATATATTGTTCTGTAAAAACTTGTGTGCCATTTTGTATGGGTGAGAGGAGTCACATCTTTCTGTTGTATATCCAGGGCAGCATGTTTGAAAGCTATAGTGTGATGAAAGAGCAAGTCAGAAAGGTGAAAGAAGAACTAAAAATACAGCACAAGGAATTAGAAAAATCAAAAAAAGAGGTAACATCCTATTCTGATGTAATTCTGAGGAGCACATTTTTTTTTCTTTCTTGTTTTCTTACATGGCCATTCTTCTTTCTGACAAGATTTAACACTTTTACAAAACCGGGAAGTCTCTGATCTTCAGAACCAAAAACGTACCTCTTAAATTGTTTAGTTATGTGATGAATTCACAGTCATTCATGGTTGGCCAGGACTTCAAGTGAAGCTGCATTCCTCCAGCACAATTTGACAGAATCTGAGTGTTTAATAAAGTGCTTAACACAGAACAAACTATCTGCCATGGCCATCTCTGGGCAGGCTGCTTCCCACCCCCTGACCACTTTAAGGAGGAGTGGAAGGCAGTAGAAGCACTGAGGATTATGGCAGACCTGAATTCAACATAGTTTTTGAATGAGAGACAAAATGATGTAAAACCTGATACTGTCAAGGGGTCTCGCTATATCCAGTGATGGTGCAAAGCATGCAAACTGCCCCTTCTTTCAGCAGCTATGTAGTAAACACAAAGTCCAACACCGCCTACATGGACACGTGTTTGCATGGCTTCTTCTGTGCCTGTGTAAAGTAAATCTGCAGTTTTGTTACCAACCGAGGAAGTTTTCAGTGTTGTGCTTTTCCAAATTCATTAGCTTTCACATTCCTATTTTTTACCGAACAATCTCCACTCTATGTTTATCTAAGCAGAATGTTTTGCTTGTATGGCAAGTGTGCATTTAGGGGGCTGTTTCATGCAATAACAGGCATTGCTTGGACTCCCTGTGGAAAAACCACTGGCGGTAACAAGTGTGTTGAGTATGTAAAAGAGCAGTAGGATCCTACATGGTGGGTGTACAAAATGGTTGTCCTTTGACAGCTGCTTTATAAGACTTCTCAGATTTCAGGTGAAGCAACTAGAATGAAGGGGTGGATTTGGATGTGTAATGGATGGTTAAGTAAGGACTTCTGATCTTGTAATTCGAACATGAAGAGACCATTTGATCTTTATTTATTTTTAAAAATCTGATTAATTTGTGTCCTTCTAATCCTTTCATGTGTTACAAGGAAGTTGTGTGTTACAACACCTTCCTCAGTTTACTTAAAAGAATGTGAAGCTTTTGTTTTCAGAAGGGAAGAGAAATGATCTGTCATATGAAGGAAAGAGCTTGCTGTCAGGCAACCTGCTGACCTACTGAGTAGTTTGTTTCAAGCTTGTTTTTTTTTTTCTTCAAAACCACAGTTAATGTGCATAAGTGGAGAAAATGCATCCTAGAAAAAATATAAAGGTGAACATACGGAGGGTTTTTTCCGTCCTTTGCAATTTTAATTTTTGACATTTCTCAGGAACATTTTTTTTCACCTAGCTGATAAAATCTTGATTTCCATTTGCTCTGAGGACTTTCAAAGATGTAATCTCTGAAATTGTGAGTGCATTCACCACTGCTTTTTTTTAGCTTTATTTAGAATAGTCAAGGTACCTTCAAATGTAGAAATCAGTTTAAAAACTAATCTATTTTTTTGCATAGCTCCAGTTAGATATGCTTCTACAGCTCTTACTTTAAGAGTCTCACTCATTTCTTACGAGATTGCAGTTTATTGTGTAATTCTATTTATTTTCATCAATTTACAACAATATAAAACTTGTGATGTGGACATCAGACTCAAGTCCATGGTTGTAAACTGGGATTGAAAAATTATACCACTGCTAGACTAATTATACTCAGTAATTTTGCTTTTTTATTCTTCCCATTAGGCTCAGAAGTGGTACAGGGAACTTGGTTTTGCTGAAACGAGATATGAAGAAATCAGAACTCGTTTGACACAGGCTCTCTCAGAATTAGACCATCTTAAACAAGAGGCTGGGGACAAAACGCTTACAAAGCAGCACTACAAATTACTGGTCTGTATGTAAATGGAGTGGAGGAAAGCATATTCCTTGGGAGGGAGTGTTTTGGATGTGGAGACACCCACTACTGTTACTGGCAATAGATCTGAAGCAAGTATAGAGCAATTGAAGTCACTGGAACTATAAACTTGAAAGTGAGCAGATATTACGCAAGGTAGACCACCTGTCTACAGGAGATCCCAAAGTCTGGGCTCTGCATGGGCATTACAGACATCTCAGCTTTTTTTTAGGAGGATTATTGCCCTGCTCTCTTTTATCAGAGTAATTTTCTGAGCCATGGATTTTCAGGTAGCCTTAATGACAGGTGTTGGAGGAGTCTCCAGCATTTCCAGTATTTGTCCTTTCTCCCTTCTAGCCCCAATTACTAGATTTGGACAGGAAAAATGAAGCTGTGATGCTGGGCACTTTCTACAGCAACTTCCACTGCCAATGAGCAGGTGTGTGGATTAATGGGGAGTCAAAGTCTGTAACTGATGCATGTGGCCCAAGTGTGTATACCCAAAATCCATGAAATCTTTCTATCACATGGGGAGAGAAAGTCACATTGAAAAGTATTCATATCTCAGAAATTCTGGTTTTGCTGTAAGTTAAAGCTTTTTGAATTTTCAGGTGGTTCTGTGTTTTGATAAAGTTTTTATGCTTTCCACCAGAATGAAGTGTTTTATGGAAAGATTTTTAATTATTGAATAATCTCCTGGAAGCAGCTTTCATAAAGACTCTTCAAGTACAGCTGAAATTATTTCGGTGCTCCTTAATAGGAAAACTGCAAAGAAGAAATATGTAACTTTTATCAGCTGGAAAAGCAATTTTGTAGCAACCTACAATATTTGCAAATTTAGTTCAAACAGGTTAGATACATGTGGGCTTCAGAAGAAAATAAAAACAAATTCTGGAAAATGTAAAGTTTCTGGACTCAGTTCAGTTGCCTAAACGTCACTGTTTATCCCATTTAAATGCCTTAGGACATCCTGGCTGAGTTGGCCATCTGCAAATCCTACAGAGTCACTTAGATTACACTCTCCGTGGCACTATGTGCTGATATTTAGACAACTGAATTCTGACTGTTAATTGAAAATGAAGGAGAGATTTTTCATATCATTATGATGTATTGGCATGTAACATATTAAAATAATGACATCTATTTCAAGTAAGAAGAAGAAACTCACAAATTGTTTGAAAGTAAACAAGTTTATCATGGTGTTTTGTTTAAGCAAACATTTAAGATTTTGGGGGCATTTTTGTGCAAATGGAGCTTTAACCCTTTTGTTTGGGGACATTCTGGGGCAATTATTGCTTATTTAATTGGTCACTGAATTAAGATGTTAATTATTCCTATAACTCACATGGGAATAAAATTCATCAAACTTGACAGACTGTTTTCACACTGGAAAAAGTGCAGGTCAGCTTTCCTTCTGAAAAAAAAAAAAAAAAAACCCAACACTTTTTAATCCCTCCAATAACTAAACTTTTCATGTTAGTGTTTATTAATCAGTAGTATATATTTATGCATACTATATATTCATGCAATATTATGATGTTGTTTGATTTGGATCTGACTTCTTCATCCAAAAACATGTGTCTCATTCCAGGGTCAAAGATTCAGCACATGTACATCACAGAACTGGGTTTATCCTTCAGATACACTATTTGATGGCACAACTAATTATCTTCATGACCAAGTCCGTTATGTCTTAACCAAAGGATATTGATTTTATTGACACAATTAAGCAAACAGTGCAGATAGAAAATAGAGTAGGTATAGTTTAACAAAGGTTGTGACTTTACTTCAATAATTCTCTTTTAAAATAAACTTTTTAATATACACTAAGCTGTCAATAGTGGATTTGTGTGAAATCATTAAAATATGTCCTAAGTTTTTCTAGATTAAAAAAAGAAAAAAAACAACCAAAAAACTTCTACTTTTCTAGCATAATTTTTCTTCCTGAGGGCAGTTTTTTAGAGTGGTGATCCCGTTCTTGTTTTCAGTTAGTTTCCTCCCTTGTCCAAAAGTGCTTTTCATCACACAAAGTTATTAATAGACTCCAATAATTTATGCTCTTCCCTGTTCTAAACTTCATTTTCTGGAAGTCCTCTGACTGAGATGCTTGAAAGAAGTGAAGATGTGAACACTCGACCTAGAACCTAAGGTTGGGAGGTCTTTGAGATATGAAGTGTTTTGAGCTTGTTTGTACATATCTTATGTTCTACAGCTCCCAATGTGCAGGGATTCTAGTTCTCAGGTGAGACTCCAAAAGACTGTCACGATATAATTCAAGTAATAGAGAGTTAAGATGATATACTTCACGATTATTGCTAGAACCCTGTTTCAGTGATCTTGCTAGCAGGGGAAATACTGGCCTTCTGAACTGTAGTGCTGTGGTAGAAGTTAGGAGAAATATGTGAGTGAGCAGAAAGGGAGAATGGTACTATTTACAGCTTTGAAATACAGTAATTTTGCATGAAATGCACACAATAAATAAGGTGCCAGGCTTCCCTGGTGAACCGTCAGCTCCTGTCATGGTCTGTAGCCAAAAAGTCGTATTTCTCCTCATTTTCCCAATAAGTTTTCAGATAAACACAGTGCACACAAAAAGAGGAAGATTTTATTTTTATTTTTAATGTTTAGGCACCAACTTCAAAGATTAGGGATCTTGCCAGGTTTTACAACAATGCAGTATGTTAAGTGCTACATTTTGGGCTTAGTTATCCTTTGGTTAACTTGTCCCAGTGGCAGCTGCTGGGTCCTTCACCCTTCCGGAGCTTGACTGCACAACCCATGGTTACTGAGGCATCTACAGGGTGATCTTAAATAAACCTTGTATGCCTTATTTGTGTTTTGAAAGTACAGAAAACCGCTGGCAAGTCAGCAAAATGCAAAAGGAAAGAGGGAACTTCTCTCTGTCTTTAACATTCAAGCAATGTTTTTATTTCTCCTTCTCTTTTTCCATTAAACATCTTCAATCAGGCATTTTTTTATTTAGCATATCTTTTGTGAGGAAAAGAAGATGAGTAAAATACCATGTCTCAAACTCATCCTCAGGCTTTTGTCACTGTAACCCTGATCTAATCAAACCTGATGTGTCCAACAGTTGCTATTGTTCTTTTCTCTTAACGCAAGAGGGAGCCAAAAAGTTTGATACAAACCATGGCACGACTTGCATGAATGCTCTGCATAAAGGACTTGCTTAGTTAGGAAGAACGTTATGAAAATGTCATATTTCTGGTTTTACCTGTGTTGCAATGATGTTTTGCAGGCAGTTTGATGTGATTTATCACTTCAGTTTGCTGTTTTCTATGAAATGGTGCCTTCAGTATGTTGTAGTCACCAAGGGTGTCAAAGCTGGAAAGGCTGTCAGAAAGCGAGGGAAAATTTAACTGTGATGTTGTGCATCACGGATGAGTATTATCTCTTCTCTTGGTTGTATCAATGTTAGTAAACATCAAAATGAAACTATCTTCCTGCATGTTTTGTCAAAGGTTATATGGTTTTACATCAGTACATTGTAGGTCTGACTAGAATTTTTAGCTTAATCACTGAAATGCTTAATCTTTTAGGCTTGCTTATATAACATGTTATCAGAAATCTTGAGCAGCTGTGTGTATCAACTCAATATTTTTCAATAGTAATTCAAAATAGCATAAATGTTTTCCACAAGGCTGTCTTCACCCTCAGGTTTTTCCTCATTCTTAATTTATATGTTTAATCTGACAATGTCACTCCTAGGAGCTGACCTTATGATGCTGACCATCAATCTAAAGCTCTCACTAATCCTTTCAATTTCAGTGCCTGAAAGTGGGAAAAAAAAAAATTGGACAGTGGGGGAGGAGGAGTTAAATTCAAAGCTCCTACTTCCATTTGTTCTGTACTACTATTACTACATTTTAATGTAATAAATATTTTATTTATAAATACTTTCGTAATTTATACTTAAAATGTGATGAGATTTATTAATTATCTTCCAAAACAAAAATGTATCTGGGAGAATAGAATTGCTCTCTGAGATAAATATATATATAAAAAAAAAAAAAAAGGGCATATTATATAGCAGTTGGAGCAGGAGACTGGGGACTTTTGAATTCTGTTCTTACTCACTTTGTGACCACAGGTTGGTCACTTAATCTATCTGTGCCCCAGTTTCCTCAGATATGAAATGATTATAATACAATACTTACCTTGAAGGAGCATTGTGAATTCCCAGTCCTACACCTGCTCTCACAGGGAACCAAGAACTCATTGCTCATAAACAGTTTTAAGATTAGTGCAAGGTATTAGTGCTAATATTTGTATGAAGGTTTGAAGTCATATGGTTTATATCAGCTTTCAAAAATTATTATTATTTTTATTTGCATACAAGGTAGGTACAGATATCGATTGAGAAGTTTTGTGCTCTGGAACATGATTGAGAATATTTTCATTATTTTATACCTCTAATTTGAAAATCTGTGTATTTGCTTTCTAGCCTGTGTATGCTGTGGAAGATGACCGGGAAATAGAGGAGACTAAAATAGCAAATAAGAGATTACAGCAGCAAGTGCTGACCTTGAAAGCCCAGCTCAGGGACCAGGATTCATTACAAAATCAGTTTCATGACTTGCAGAATGAAGTGGAACTCCTTCAGGCCCAGCTATGTGAAAAGGTATAATAAAGCTGTTTTCTGTGTGTTTAAGTGGGTGGATAAATGTGACTTTAGACTTCAGATTCTACCTCTTTCTTCTCAAAGGAGAGAACCAAAACAGTCTTCTTTCCTGGGAATGAGTCTGAAGATAATTGAATGGTTCCCAGGCATAAAAAAGTACCCCTGACTTCAGAGAAATAAGGAAAAGATGTAAAATGCCTGGGTGGTCAATATTATGGACCGATGATGGACTGTAATAAAAGTTGTTGCCAGTCTCTGCTATAATCCCCATAGTGTAATGCAAGCAAAGCGGTGCTGAAATTCTTTACAGAGCCACCTCCTTGGCTTAAGTTGTCAGGATTTTTGATATTCCCAACTCTCTTATTGTACTATATCAAATTGGGAAACACAGTAATCTAGTGATGGAATTTTGATAGAGTTTTTTTCTAACTTTTTTTGACCCAGCTATGAGGGTTACACATTAAGAGCTTCATTAACACATTTTCAGTTAGGCGTGTAGACTACATTTTTATTAATTGACATACTTATTCTGGTGAGAACTCCCATGTATACACAAGTATACTTACATGGACAGTTTATACACTTGTGCAAAAACCTGACAAACCGGAGCAGGTACAGAGATTAACATTTGCCAAACTACTGCCTTTCTGTGTGATAGCAAAGCTACTGCTGTCACTGTGACTACAACTGCTGAACTCTTAGGTGGAAACAAATTCCTGCTAGGACCTTTTTCCCTCAGATTTAGATGCTATTTCTTAGAAGCATCCCTTAGATATTTCCTGTTTCTTTGGGAACTGTCTTTCAAAAAAGGGATGATAGTTGCAATATGAGCCGAACTGGAATTGCCCATCATACGCTCAAACAACAAGTAAATGGCATTTTCTCAATAGTATTCTTCATACCCTGATACAACGTGTAGAACATGCTTCTCTGTCTTTCCCCTGAAATACAAGAGATGATTTTATTCTCCCTGTTGCAAGCAAGTTGCATCCTACTTCCTCCATGGTATGTCCACCCATTCTACAGTTTTGTTGCTTTTGTTTTTGTTTTGTTTTGGGTTTTTTGTTTGTTTGGTTGGTTTTTATTTATTTATTATTATTTGTTTGTTTGTTGTTTTTGTTTTGTTTGTTTGTTTGTTTGTTTTTCCTAGCCTTGTCATGTGCTGTGATTTGCTTTAAACCAGTCCTGTACATAGGGTTAGTGGCTTCTCTCAGGCATTGATTAGGATGCCTCTTAGCAGAATAGTGGTGGTAGAATTAAATTGTTTTGTAATGCCTGGTGTCTGTAGTGATGGATAGTGCATATCAGATGGTTGGTGAGTAAAGGGTGGGATGTGCTGTCCATATAAATGGGCTACTCCTAATTGTTCTGTTGCATTGACAAAATGTTTTGCTCCATGCCTCATCCTACAATAAAGTATTATATTGCCAAATAATACTTTATTGATTCATAATAAGAATGGATTTTACCTGGCAGGATATTTTGGGTTTTTTTCTGTGTAAAACCTTTCTGTAGAAAGCAGGTTTCCCATGAATAATAAACATTTTAATCATAAGGTACAGACTAGGTCATCTGGCTCACCTCTTAATAGAGGACATGCATTGACTGTGTCAGAATAGAAAGTTGTTGATGTTCACTTTTCAGAGCCTGCTGTGGAATACACATGCAGAAAATCTCCCCTCATATCTCTCATTCTTCAATATAATATAGATAAGAAAAGGGAAATCTTTTCCCAGAAGAATATTTGGGGAGATTCACAGAGTAAATGGGAACATTAATGCATAATGAAGGATACCAAGTCTTTAATGGGATACCACTTTGATGAAATAACCTCACTGATATAGGGCTCCATCTAAAAACATCAAAAGCCTTTGGTAATACATAAGACCAATGTTAATGCTGGTAGGGCAGTGTCTGCATGCCAAGGCCTATTCGTGTACAGCCAGCTCCTTACACTGCTTCATCTTGTTTGTAATACAGGGTCACACAGAAATGCAAAATATACACCTCAGAAGCCAGGTATAAAACAAATATCAAAAAACTGCTACAGTATTTTAAAGTGACTCTTGAATAAATTGATGTGGAATGTTTTTCAACCTTTCAGGAACAAGAACTTCAGAAGAGGAAGTCTGAAGAGAAGTTGATGCTGGCTCCTCTGAAGGTACTATATTTTCTTGAAAGCTGATGCAGGACCTGCACAAAGGTGTATCCCTTTGCTCACAGGCTTCTGTGTGTGTGTCCGCCTTCTACAGCTGCCCCTCTCTCAGCTGTTTGCTACTGGGCTTTAGGCTTTAGACAAGGGCTTGCTGACATTATTGCTATGGGTAGTCTTCAGCCTGTCAAAAGGGGGACCTCACACATGGAAAGAGAACGTCTCTTTCCAGTTTATCTGTGCGTACGGATTGCTGTTGCAAGGCGCAGAGGCGCCTAATGGCCTAGAAACACAGGAGTGCATTCAATAGCTTTGGGTCAAAACATGTGAAATTACAGATCAGACACAAACTATAATCTTGCAGTCTCAACAGGGAGTGAAATCAATGTACATGTGTTCATGCTGCATAGGCTAAGCTGGCTTGCCTCACCCGAAAATGCCAGGAAAGGAACAGCTTCATTACAAGGATGCAAGGCGAATTTCACAGGCGAGGAATTATTAATTCTGCATTTGATGAAGAGGTGAAAAATCTGGTGAATGACATGTCCCTGACAGAGTACACAGTCACTTTTACACCAGTGTGTGATCAAGAGGTAAGTGTTTGTACTTCCTTGGAGGATCCTCCCATTTCCACTATTGTATTAAGTTAGTGATTTATTTTTTTAGAGTGTTTAGTAAAGACTCAGTGTGTAGCTATAAAATATATTTTAGCACTTAATATAAATAATACTTCAGACAAGTGACTGAAGTTGGCTGGTTTACTACTGTTTTGGTCAGTAAAACTACACTACTGCTGTTTTCTTCCTGCATAATGCATTTCATCAGATTTCTGAAGAAATCAGAAAAAAAAGGTGTTCTGTTCAACATTATTATTAATAACCTGGATGCTGGGAATGTAGATATTTTTGGAGTAGCACCTGCTTGAAGACATTCTTAAGGACAGGAATCTGAATCTGGCAAACTGGAGAAGTAGATATTCATTTGCAGTACTTCAGTTAACCTTCAAACAAGCTCTTTTTCCCCCTTTCATCTTATCTCTATTATTATTTTAAACAAAACCTATAAAAAAAAAGCCCAAGCAATATTTGGTAATGTTTGTGGCAAGTATACTCAAGCAGAATCTTGTTGGCTAATCTGGGGAAAAAAATATTTTGTGTTACACGTTTGTAAAATATTGGGAAAGTGGCTGCCTACCACAGCAGTACACAGAACATAGGCTCATACTCTGTTTTGTACTTCAGCTAACACAATGCACTGCAAACTGAGTACATAAAAATAATTTTTTTTTTTTAATGACACTGATACCTATTTTTCATCAGCAGAAGTAAGGATGCTCAGAATGGGCATACAGTATAGTAAATCCACAGGATTATTTTCCTTATTAATTTGCATTTTTAGAAACAGAGTAGTATTGTGTATCACTCTGAAGAAGCTTATTCTTCCAGTGTTGTTAAGTGTTGGAAGCTATCACTCAGTCATACTTGTTTCTGTGAAAAGCTGTAATTTAACTTCATGTTAAGGATAAGGTAGATTGATTCCTGATTGCAGGATGGGACAGGATTCTCTGGCTATGTCTCCTTTCAGTATGTCAAGTCTGGGCCCACCACTGTCTCACCCAAGCTCACACCAAGAATGAATGTTTTATGTGACAGCAGTTAGTAACTCATCTGTCAGAAGGGAGAAAATACTTCACTGCCTTCAGACATTTTCTCAGACATTGCTGTGATAGATGAGCATTACTGTAAAGCTTCCCAATACAATAAATATCAAAATACTGTTCACACTCACACTGTCTCCCTGAATGTCTAATTATCACAAAATTTCACAGATCCAACAGGAGAGAATTAGATTGAATCTATACTCTGATGGCCAGTGAGTTCATTGCAGTGTAGGAGCCCCACATTCAATTCTCTGCTTCAATAGATATTTAGCTATTCGTACCAAGTGGAGCACAAACCCCTTCCCATAGTATCCAGCACCGTAGTGGCCTGAGGTCTCACTTAGGCTCAGGCACACTGGGATTCAAGCCCATTTTTTTTTGAACATGCAGAGAACAGGCTGACTGTAGCTGGGCACCTTGACACTGTGCTTTGGACCATTCTGGTCTGTGATAAGTAATTCCATGTGTAACATGGGAAACCTTTCTTGCCAAGGCAGATCTGTATGTTCCCATGAAAAATTTAGGTTTCTATGGATCAGTTTTCCAACGGAAAACATTTCGGTGAAAAAATGTCCAAGTGTCACTACTCCTAATTTAATAAATAATGGTTACAATCAAAAATAAGAGAAACTCTTTCATATTCATGTGATACATTCCTTTCATTTTAAAAATGCTGTACTAAATTCTGTAGACATATGTTAGACTGAACTGACTTTTCACCTTTGAGGATTCATTTTTTGCATTTCAACTCTTATTCTCACTGCAATTCACATCTAAGATTCCAGGGCTATGCCCAGATTTTACTTACATAAAACTCCTTTGAATTCTCATTCCCTTCATTGCCCTCAGATTTTTACTTCTAAATCAATTCCTTACACATGAACACTCCTAGAGAAAACCTGGTGGTTCGATGCTTTTTTTGTTTGTTTGTTTTTCCTTCTTAAGTTAAAGATTTACAATTAGCTTTATTCATTTCTGGACCCAGTGACAAATGGAAGCCTGTCACACATTGGCAGCAGACCTGCCTGCTTTGGCTTACTGATGAACTTCAACTGAAAGTTTGCAGTGATGCATGAAGGGTTGATCCAGAGCCCTTTAAAGGGAAAGGGACTCTGTATTCAATTCAGTGCCTGGCCTTTTGAAGTTCAGTAAAAAACTTCGTGTCTGGTTCTCAGAAGAAAATATGTTTTAAAATTATTTTAAGAATGATTTTCATTTTTTTTTTTTTTTTCCATGTCTACATGGAATTACATGTAAATTGGCTAGATCTGCCCTAGCTGTGTGCTAGGAAGCTCTGGCTTCAGTGGAGGGCTTATGGGCATCAACAAGTTACTTACGCGTAAAGACAAACGTGAACTTCAGTTCTTTGGTCATTCAGGACACAACCGGTGGTTGGCCATTCTCTTCTGTTTGCTAGAAGTATTTTCTTCCTAATGCTCATCCCAATGAAAATACTAAAACAGGAAGACAGTGTGATGTAAAAGAAATCATCTTTGGAGCATCTCTTTAGACTTTGCTTTCAGCATTCGAGACTGTTCTCAGACACAATAAATCATTGTTGTCCTAATGGCTTTATTTTGCTGATTTTCACTGACTCAGGTCTTCAAATCAGTTCAGTTTAGCAGAGCAGCATGCACTTTGAGTTTTGTCATTCTTAATTATTTTCATATCCCAGTGTTAAATTCAAATGTTTTTGAGTGAGAAATAAAATTTGCTTCAATCATGTAGTATCTCATGATTTTGTTCCAGCAGTGTACTTTTCACTGAAGCCTGATATACACTAGAGTAATAAGTTCAGAAAAGAAAGTAAATTTTCATTCTCTTAGTATTCTTTCCAATTCCTTGTAAAGAGGACTAGATTTTGAATTACTTTTCCTCACCATAAAACTGTACACCATGAAGCTCTTTATTTGTAATTTAGTTTGAGTAATTCAGTGTAATTTAATTTAATTTTAGTTTGCTTTATCATAATAAACATACACGATTGCACAGAAGGGGGTTTCTTTTAATTCTTTTTCATCCAGAGAAAGCACCTACGTCACTGTTCTGAAAGCAAAAATTGTGTGCAGAATGGTGAAGAAAAGCTGCCTCTTCATTTTGGAGAACATAGCCTTTGGGGAGCCATAGGAATGACAATTTATGTCTAATATGGACCTGAATTTTTTTGAGGCACCAAGAAGTTAATTTGTAAGCTTTTGTGATATATTTTCCTTTTAAAAGACCTAAACTGAGAAACCACTGGAGTGATATGAGCATAAATTTGGGCAACTGAAATAATCAAAACCTTGTCTTATTTTGTGTTTGAAAAATTAAAAGCATGTGTCTGAAGAAGGCACACGACAGGGACAAGGGCTGCCTCCAGCGGCTGCACGTGGCACTCGGCACGGTGCCAGATCTGGGTTTCACATGCCCATGACAGACACAGAATATGTGGCCATTTTTGGCCTTTTGTCGTGTCCCATTTTAATCGCTTTCTTTTACCACTGATTTTTTTTTTTTTAATTGGAAAGACCTTGGCCTCATCTTACTTTTCTTGCTGTTATAGAATTAATTCATGGACATTATTAACAGTTATTGTTTTTCTGCATTTCCCAGTGGAAAGTACACAAGACAGCATTCATTATCTGATGTTAGACATTCATGTTCACTAAACAGCTGACAAAAAGGACCGGGACTGGGCTTTGCTTGAGTTGGTAACAGTGGGAAGCAAGAGAAGATGCTCCAAACAACTAGTAGGAAATGTGAAAGAGGAGGCTACATTTTTTTCTGAATTTAGGTGTCTACTTGCAGTTTAAGAAACAGGCTTTAGCCAATTTGACTAGCTTGAAAGTGACACTATGCCCGTGCTGCTTTTGATATATTAGAGAACCACACAGAGGAGCGAGTGAGCTTGGCTTGCCTTTCCCGTGGGCTCATCCCAGCCAGTGCAGCTGTGCAGTATTTTGGGGGCCTTTTCTCTCTCTTTTGGGGTGTGTGTGGAGAAATAGGGGTATGTTCAGTTCTTTCCCAGATCCAGCAGCTTCTGTCTAAATGACTGATGGCTGTAGTGGATAATGCTGCTTTACCCATTCGCTTCCATTTCTCTTGTGCTGGAAGGCTTTGACTTGGTGATATCTGTTCTTTCCATAGTGGATCTGAAACCATTGTGGCTATCTGCCCTCATTTCTCAGGGCTGAGAAGGAATCTGTGCAAGGAATATAGGGATAAATGGTAGTGTTTTTTATTGCTTTTCATGGAGTCACCTTAAATGTTATGGATGGAAAGCTCCAGGCAAAGAATGTGTCCAGTGTGGTGAATTATTTGTTTTACAGAATAAGGAATAGATGTGCACAATAGTGTGGCTTAATCCTCCTTTGTATCAGGGAAATTTTTCTGAGATACTTTTCAGTAGAACAATGCTTTTTTTTTTTTTTTTTTCTCTTTTTTCTCCTACTCATTTCTTTGCAAGAAACCACTTACTGCTTTCCTGTGAATCATATTTGAAGGAAACAGGCCTGAAATAACATTCCCTGATGTTTTCCTTAAAATGATTTGTGCATGGCTGGTGAGATCAGAAGCTTTTCTGGCACTGAGGATGAGATATGTTTCATGCCTGATGTCAGTACTTCAGACAATCACATCCATGGTACTTTATTTCTTTTCATGGTTAGTGGAGAGAAAGAGGTACTTACAAGGAGGTATCTTGCCCATTTTATGTATCTGCTTTAGATAAGGTGAGAGGAGTCATAGAAGTTGGACTCCATTTGTTCTGAAGCGAGCCAGGAGGAGATACGCTTTTGTCAGATGAGTCTCACCCTCAGAGTGGAGAACGAATTTAATTTGGGGCTTTCAGTCTTTTGGGGTCAAAGCTGATCAAGACCAAGGGACCTTTCAAGACAAAGTGTTTTGCAGGAAGAGGTTTCTTTTTCTGACATTATAGAAAATGTGATTTGAATCATTAGAATTCCAAAGATCTGAAAGAGAGGAGATGGTGGTTGTTATTTAGTGATTTTTTAAAAGAAGGATAATATTCATTGCTGAGAGAGATACTATTTTTGACCTCCAGAAAGATTAATAAAAATACTGAAGGGTATAAAATATGGATTTAAAACAGTTAAGGGCAACCTGGCCAGTAAAATAACTGATAAAGCTTTTCAATAATTATGTAAATGGTTCTTTGTGCAGAGGGTATCTCAAGAATATGTGGTGGCTGAGGAGATGGTACATATTCAAGGTTAGTGCCATTTTAAAGTAAAATTGGGTTGGGTTGACAAAGATTGAAATCTGTTTCCTGACTGCATACATAATACAGATATTTTAGCAGTGGCTTTTGCTCTACTTCATGGGCAACAGCATGTGTTTATCTAGAACAATAAATGCAAATAGAGTAACAGCCATGATTAAAAAAAAGAAAAGCTTTAAAAATTAACCTTCCTTTATTTTTTGATAAATGCTGACATTTAAATTATGGTAAAATGTGCGATTAAGAATATCCAGATGAATTAAAATATTTTACTCTTCTCTCTGACACCACTGCCTTTTTATTTTTGTAATGTTGGGGGAAGGTGATATTTTTTGGTTTTAATGCCAGTCCTTTCTGGATCTTGGCATTATGCAAGTTTACACTTCTTTTGGTTTGGTGAAATATCACAATTTTTCTTCCCAGGTGGGATAACTTCTGGAAACTTGAGAGGAAAGCAAACAATATAAAAGGAAAACAGAATCAATACTGGAAAAAAAAAAAAAAAAAAGAAAAAAGAAAAAAATTAACATCTGGGCATTGAGATAAAATACAGGATTTTTTCTTAGCTACATCCATAGTGCTATAAAAAATATGATCTTTAGTGTTTCACAGAGCCTTACGAAACACTGAAAGTGAGCCTTTTTGAGAGAATCATACCAACTTTCAAATATAGCACAGATCATACTGTGAAAACATCGTCAATGTAGTAGCAGCTTCACTCATCAGGGTTTGCATTAACCCACCTCTCTACTGAGTTTCACTACTTTGGCTGCAGCAGAATTCAGTAATCCCAAGAGAGAAAAGAAGTTTGTGAGTTGAACAGTTGAAGGAAAGGAAAGACCCTGAAAGGAGGTTATTTTTCTAGAAATGAAATGTGCCAGTGTCACAGCTTTGATTTGGTGCTGTGTTTTTTTTCCTGGTAGCTTTACCAGCTCTCCTGCCTACAAGGAGGACAGTGATTTGCCTTTGCATGGGTCATTGAGCAGCAGAACTTGTTCTGCTCCCTCTGACTCTCATCTATCACCAGGGATGCCTCTAACTGTGCTTCCTGGAGTGAGGAAATTCTCATCACATAATTTTAGATCTAATCTCTTCACGCCTCAAAACATTTCAGGGCTGCCCTTTGTAACCCCTCCATCGCTTTCAGCCAGCTGGCATTTTTTGTGAATGCTGGGGAGAGATACTTCACTTGTAACCTTAGTTAGAAACCAAGGACTTCTGAAGCCACCTTTGGCTTCTGTGTTTATAGGGGAACATTCAAATATATAGCTTTCACTTTCCAACTATGCCTGTGATGCTAGGATATTTATCTACACACAAGTGATGTAGTCAATACTCATTACAGATGTACAGAGCAACCCAATATATTAAGTAAAATGTGTTTTATATTAAGTAATCATTCCTGACCTGGCATATTTATAGTATTTGCATTTCTGGAGCTTTTGCAAGAGGACTAATGGCAATGAGGTGATAACTTGTAATCAGATGTATTAATTTTGGGAAGAAATAAATAGCTTGCTTTAAAACCCGAAGGCTGAAACTGTCATTAACAATCTTAAATTTGTTTTTCCTTGCAATTGCATGAACAAAAGTAACATTGATCCTGTAGCTTTAATAAATTTGTATTTGGATGATAAAATGTTACTGCTCTGTGAGAGTCATTTACGTTCAGGGAGATCTGCCTGCAGCTGTTATGAAAAGTTACATAATTAAACAACTGCCATTTCTCTATATATTTGGCTTCAGTTCAATGAAGGTATTAAAGAAAGATAATGTTTGTTGTGGTGTTAAAGTTGATTTGGTGGTAAAGTAAAAACTGAATTGATATTATTTTGGTTCTGAATAGGAAGGTCTGCATAAGAGTTCATACAGTTGAACTAATACAATTTTGAAGTCCATTCAGCTTGACTTTCTTGAGCATTTGTAGGTAGAAAAACCTCAATTTGTTGTGTAATGTGGAGTGGCAGAATAAGTGTGTGAAAGAATCATGTTAGAAATGTTGAGATTCTTCAAGAGGAGACCTAACATTAGGCAATTTTTAAAATTAGCATTTTTTTCTACATTTTATCTATGTTGTCTTAATATCCAGATGCAAATTTTGGCTGTAGTTAAAGCTTAGAGATTTTTTTGTTTTGGGGAAGAGTTGATGAATACAGGATTCCTTTTTAGACAGATGCAGGAATGCTTCACATGTAAAATAATTGATATATTTTTTCTTATTTTTGTAAATGCAGTTTATTTACATTTAATTTCTGTGAACATATATTGTAACAAATTCATCCAAGCAGCTTCCACTAATCCAAAATAATCAGCATTGGAAAACTTCATCTAGCTTGAATTTCTTAATGGTATTTTCTCTTGCAGATGCTGACTTCTTCCATGGACATTTCACAGGCCAATGGACAGCCAGAGGATCATGAGACATATGTCAAAGTGAATGCGATGTCTGGGTCAATACCTGCAAACTCTCCGCAAGCAGTGGACAGCATCCACAGATCTCCCATTACTCCAACTGTGTATGCTGGTTCTCCTGTAAAGTTAACAAGCCCAGAGAGGATCATAGCCCTCCATCAAGAACTAAGACAAAACCATCGCAAAAATTGCCAGGTCAGTAAAAATTCTCTCATCATTTTTAGTTCAGTGAAATCTATTATTTTTGGCAGTCATTTTATAGATCATATAGATGTTTGAATGATTGCTTCCAGAGATGCACAGTTGATTGTTAGTTTAACCAGGCTGAGGATAATAAATGCTTAATGTTTTTCATTATACATTTTCTTCCCCATTGTTTAGGAATGGCTTGGGGCTTGTAAAAATAATTAAAAAGGTTTCTTTTATCATGGTGTATTCTGTGGTAAGACCATCTTTGAAAATTGTTTGATGTTTAAAAAAGAAAAAATTGTTATGTTGATGTTATCCTACCTTTTTTTCCTCCAAATTTTTTTTTGGGTGATCCAATTATTCCTATGCCCTGAAGCTCATTATAGTAATTTCGATTAACTGCAGGAATCCTGTTAAGAACAGAGCTGATCAATTGCAATTGCATTTGTGACAGTCTGCTGCTAAACTAAAGATGCAGGAGATTTCACCTTCTCTGAGGCAACATAACTTCTCCATAATTGTATGGAAACAAAATTCAAGTATGCAATTACTGAAGCCAGTTACCTAGAATAGTTACAAATATTACTCTACTGAAATTCCTTTATAATCTTGGATTAAAACAAATGTAATAAAACATGTAAAATCCTAGTTTCTGCTTTTGGCATTAATAGTTGAAAAATCATGCAAGATACTGAAATCTCCCTTTAGTTAAGAAATGTATTATACAATTAAATGGTGACTCAGAATTCTGATGATATATTCTTTAGTCCAGGAGATATATGTGACAGTTCAAATCCAGTTTCCTGGTCATTTTCTCCATCACAGTCGCTTATAAAAAGTACAAATGAAAATATTGTCATAAAAGAAAATTATTATGGAGAGCCGAATGCAAGTAACTCTTTGATTGACCTGATCTTTGTAAACTCAGGGATAATTTCTTTATATACATCACATGAGCTTTAATTAAATCCCAATGAGAGCATGACGAAGACTTCCTCTACAATTATATGGGAAGCTACAGCTGAAATCAATGAACAGAGTGGCCTGTTTCCATATAACATACAGAAACACACTGGGACATCCAAGGCTATGTTTTCTTTTCTTTCCTCCTCAGATACCTTCAGTTGTCTTCTCCAGCTCAAACCTGAAAGCTGACTGCAACCTGCCCATGATCCATGAGGAAGCCCCTTGGCCTCTGCTGTCAAGGGTGAAGGATGCACTGGAGCCTCCGGAGCGTAGTGCTTTCTCGGCCACAAAGGGGAGGGATCGGTTGTCGAAATGTGATGATGTATTTTGGGGTCAAGTAGGAAATCAGCATGCAGGTGCTATTCCTCAGGGAGCGAAACAGAAAAGTGCCATTATGAATAAGGCATGGCTCTCTAGAGAAAAAACAGATGGCTCAACCTCAGCTACCACAGCAAAAAGCTATTTGTCAGACGTGTTGTCAGCAAGTAATAAGGGTCGAAATCCTGTGGGGAGAAATCAGCTGCACAGGAAAGAATAAAACCTGCAGAAATAAAACAAGGTAAAGCATCATAGCAATGTGATTTTCCCATTGTTACAAGAGTACTAATAATTTTTAAAACAAAGATATGTTACTGGTTAGCATGGCCTAGTTACTAGTTTGAGATGACTGGAAAACTTATATGAAAAACACTTTTTGTGATCAAAATTTCTTAAAACATTTGAGGTCACTGAAACCTATGGATTTTTCGGTAGCCAAGCTGCCTCCCCATTTTATTTTCACTGCTTGTTTATGATTTGCTTTTCTTTTAACTGAGACTGTGAAACAATCTATTAAATCACTTTTATGTATAACCCATTTCTTCAGTGTGCAGTGGCAAGTTTGGAAAGAATGTCTGCCTTGCGTCACTGTTTCCTCTGGAATTTGAGAAAATGTGGTGTGCTGAACTTCCTAGAAACCCATTTTACAGAACTTGGGGGTAGTTTTGCTGTTAGTGTTTCTTTAGTGTCTTGGGATTACTTTTTTTCTTAATTTTATCTTTTTTTTTAAAATAAACTGACCTACAGCAGGATACTCAATGTATTCCCGAAGGTGGTAGTACCTGTAAAATAGGATCCTTCAATTGTTACTTTTAAATAACAAATTGCAGCTTGAGTAGTTTTACTCAAGTTCCGAACCACTTTCTTTAGGTGACTGCTTGGGCACCATGAGTACAGGAACATCTGTGTTCAAGGGATGGATGGTTCAGACTGTACCCTGTGCTGCCAAACCGCTGCACCTACAACAGGGAGAAGTAGATGTGGTGCCAAGCCACCTGGACTAGCAGAGCTGTGACAGTGCTTCCTCGTAGTCTGGCTCAGAAATAGTTGTGGTCTGGGCTGCAAGAACCTTTGATGGACCCTGGTTATGGGGGAGAGGAGGGAAGAAGAGTGTGGCAGTGCAGGTGTTGACACTGGTTGACTCTGGGAAGTTTAATTGAACATGGTTATATATTCCCCAAAACACTGATTTTTACTGGGATCCCACCAGGGTTAATACTTTTGGAAAACCTCCATTATTCACATCTCCCAGCTATCTTTATTTTTAAACACTTTTATGCAAAAAGGGCATGTTTAACAGACAGTAATATGTAGCACTGTTCTTGTGCTTTTCCTCTGCCTCCATCGATCACCCCAGTTGGTTTATAATATGTTACTACTTTGTCTGATGCTGCTTTTCGGAAGCCAGAAACAAAATGAAGAAATATTAATGCACACACTCACACTTTATTGTGGGAAACCCATTTTCATTTGCTCAGTAAGGTAGCAGTGCAATTGCTTACAGCAGTAACTGAATTGGTCTTCACCCAACATATCTTTAGAAAACACACACCAGATGCCAAGGCAAATAATAGCCCCTGGAAGCGATGTTTTGGAGTGCTGTCTAAGCAGAAACATCAGCGAGATTCCAAAATCTGGGGATCTGCTTTCATGTGTCTTCCTCTTCCTAATGCCTGGCCAGCATTTCTGAAGACAGATACACCTGATACTCAACCACCAGCTGCCTTATCAAATGTTAAGATATTTTGATGAGGAAAAACACTGTAAACATTTGACATGGTAACTTTTATATTGGTAAAATGATGCTTTAATAATTAGCACTTGTAAGAACTTTTTTTGAGCTTTATCTTTTTCACGGTAAAATACAGGGCCTGGAAGACTGGAGATCAGATCATAACGCGTGAAGTATACTTATAATAAGGGTATTAATAATAGTTCCCTGTGATAATAATATAAATCTTTGTTATCCTCGTGTAGCTATCTACTTTGTGATTGGGACCATAGTAACTCACCTTGAAATTAAGCCTTTCTCAGTCCAGTTCCTTTCTATCAAAGACAAGCACGGATTATTTAAAACTGTTAGGTTTCATTTTAAGCTAATTAGGTTATTTGGCCCCATTCTTCCTCCTGATGGAATTAATAATTTCCTGAACAAGGACTGCAGACACACACAGGTTTAGATGGGGGAACAGACAGTTGCAGGGATATTACCTGCATGGAAGGACTGTAATGCAAAATGGGCTCAAGCAATTCCTCAGGCTAATAGATTCTGTTCTAACACTTTGTAGCTTTGCTTCACAAATCATAGATTTCAGTTAAAATCCTGTAGCCCCTCGTGTTTTTAATTTTTTAAGACATCTATTCTTCCTACTACAAAGCATTGTTTAAATACATGCAGATATCACAGCTGTCATTTGAGCAGCTGTTTCAACTGCTTTTCATTTCTCTTAAGTAAAATTGTGAGATTTTAGACACAGTGGAATAATGCTAATAATTTAACAGCAGTCTGTTTGGAGTGCTACATGCAACAGTGTTAGGAAAGGTGGATCAGCTTAAGGTTTTCTCTTTTAAACTTCTGTCCCACTCTGTTTTTTCCTACTAGTCAACAGGCAAATGAGAAGTGATAGTCAAATTATACCAAATAATTATGTGCTAGTTGATGTACAAGAATATTAGATGATGCATTGCGCTATCAAACAAGGTCCTTCAAATTCTTCAAACACAGTCATTTATAGAAACCAGCTCCAAGATGTACAGTGGCAGGCCAGATGGTTTGTATATTGGTGTCCTGCCAAGCTGAGGTCCTTTGGGAGTCTGAGCTTGCTGAGAATAATTAATATTGCCCCTTATTCTGTAAATGATTTGGGAATTTTTTGAAATTTAGGGTGATCAGTATCAATGTACTTACAGAAGACATCTGAACAGTTGACTTCTATTGAATCACCTGTGATCTGCTGTTTGTCATCCATGGACCCACCTGAGTGAAATGGCATTATCTGTACTTGACTGGATGATCAGTACACTTGGAAGGAAGCTGGACGATGGTGTGCTTCCTACCAACAGATGCTTACTGAGCCTGCTTTCCATTCAGACTCTTCCACTTACAAATAAGTTGTTTAAAACAGCGCTGAAAACTATTTGCTAGAATCAATAGTTCACATCAAATGAGTGCTTATTAACATATTCAGTCAATATTTGACCAGTTCTTTTTTTCTAGACCTGAACTCCCGAGTCCTAAAGTCAAAATATCTTATTTTAGTGGCAGTCATATCTTTTTCACTAGTTTTAACAGAAGTGTTACTTAGAAATAGACTATAAATACAATAAATGGAAGTAGTAACCTGAAATGGTGCATAGTACTTTTTAAAGGCTGTGTGAAAGATAAACTTCAAAAGGAAATGCATGGTGTACCTGAGGCTACAAATGTACTGTACAGTAGTAGTTTGTATCCCCTTTGGGGAAGGAACTGGAATCTGAAAATCAAAAAACACTGGAAAAAATATCCATTCTCCTATAACAGGTATAAAAAAACGGAAAAGAAAAAAAAATCCATCACTCTCTTCCAACACTGAACAAGAAGTTTTATGTAATCAAAGAAAACCAAAAATTCTCCTGCGCTTGTGTTTTATCTATTTTTGCTCTTCTCTGATATGAGAGGTCATAAACAGGGAATATAATGCCAGTTTTTATGTTCAGATGAAAAGAAACAGAACACCTACAATGATAGATCATGCATATTTTCAGGAAGTTCTCTTTAGTGAATGCAATTCTTGTATTAGTCTACTCTTTCCACTTTTTTTTTTTTTTCAGGAAAACAGCATTTGTAATACTTAAAAAAAATAGTAAGTTGCCCTGTATTTTGCCTACACTCACCTGTGCATTCAGTCCCACTTAACTACCAAGAATTCAGTATGCAAGTTCAAAAGATAAAGTCAGTTGCCAGTTACATTTTAGAAACATCTAGAACAGACATGGTTTGGTCAGAATCAGTGTTCAGAAGGAACATGGTCTGCATGCCGCTTTGAGAACTGGTCTGCTGGAGAAGGCCTGGAAGGCACTGGAAGGTGACAGAACTCCATGTCTTTAAAATAAATGATGCCAATGTCCACTCTAGGTTCTCCTGGAGATTAAACATTTGTAGAAAATGCAGAGGGGCTGCTCTGGAAGTCTGCCACTCCCCATCTATTGCTTACTTTGTGCTATGGAAAGCTTTTATATGCATAGGAGATTTGTGGATCAGATTTGATGTTCAATCTGTGGTAACTCAGTTCCATGCTGATATTTCAGAGTCAGAACAAAACCAGGCTGCCCGTGATTAAATTTTCTGTAGTCGTTAATAATGCCTGTTCATATTTTTTGTGTTGCAATTCCGATTTGCAAAAGCAGTATCTAATATCTTCTTAGTAACAGACTTTTCATTTAGCCCTTAAACTGATGGATATTAAAGATCCTAATTAAAACTAGATAATGCATGAAGGATTTCTACAGTGCAGACCTTTCTTTTAAGGCCTGATTAAATCAAGAAAATCCCACCTGTTTGTACAACTCTATTCTCAGCAGGTCAGGCAGCTGGTAGTATTAATGTAAATCCATCTTTCTTGTAGTAGTTTTCTTCCTGGGAGTAAAGAGAACAGGAAGGGCTGGGACAGAAAATGGGACATTTCAGAAATCGTAGCCTATTACATTTAGGAATATTGTCTTTCCCCAGTCTGTGACTCTGATCGTATCAATCAGGATAACAGTGAGCCTTAGCATAATGTGTTCATTTACATATAAATATGTATAAAGTATTTATATATTTATGTGCATATACATATGTATATATGTATAATTGCATGGGGTTTGGCTTAAATAAGGGTAGTATAATATAATGGGGAGAAGTCACTTTCTGCAGATCTTTCTCTTTCTTTTTTTTTATTTTTTTTTTCCTCTCTCCGCTGGCATTTGCTAGTAGAAGTAGGGACATGGGAGGAGACTGATTTTGCTATTATTATTTTAAAGACTGAATTTAAACCTTATGTTAAGAGGAAACTAGGACTATGCAGTGGAAGTTCTGGTTGTATGTTGACTCCACTGCAGGTTAAAATCCAGATATGTATCAGTCTGTCTTCCCCTTCCCAAATATACTACTTTCCATGGGAAGGAAACTCACTTGCGTGCTCCACCTGTCAGCCCAAAAGTAAATGACAGTGGGACCAGGCCAATGGGTGACACTTGCCCTAGAGTAGTTTAGCTCCCTGT